TTCTTCGCCTATCTTTTCTTCTGGCTCCGAGAGATAAGTTTTACGACAGACGTAGTCGTATTTCCCACAACCAGCAGCATTAAATGATGTAAACAAGGGAGGCATACCACGTGACTGTTGACGTGGCAGTATAGGAATAGTTGGAAAGTTTTCCAGAGATGAAAAGATCACAATTGGCATTTTAAGACACTAGCCATGGCTAAAACCATAAGATTTACCAGCTCTCCAGTAAAATAACCACGATGGGTAAACCGCTTAACTTCGTTTTCAAAGTTGTCAGTGGTCAGGGAGTTTTCATAGTGTTGCCTCTTCTCTCCCGATCACTCTAAAACGGTTAATTCTCTTAGTTTGGTGACTAAACTATCCTCGCTCTGTTTGAAAAGACCGAGATTAGTTAAATGCTCAACCACTTGACAATCTATTTCTCCTGTCCTTGTAATGCAAATAATGTTCCTTGCCACAGCTCGAAAACAACAATCTCCATCTTTGGGAATATGTTCCCGGGACACTGACCAGTTCTTCAAAATGTCGTCTATCCGTTTATCGTGCTCGATGAAATCTCGATCCGTACTGAGTTCAACATTAGAAAACAAAGTTACTAACGTGTTTGAATGAGAAAAGTGACGATGTGACACTTCTGTTCCTGAATTACTAAGATTCACTAGGCTTTGAAACGTAGCCATGTTTGATTGTGCCTTGTTCAATATGTCAATCGCAGCAGAGTGACTCACAGGGGTCGCATGGTTATTAGAATCACTTTGTGGCTCTGTTAATTCGTTAGTTATTTCCCTTTTGTCCAAAGTTTCCAACCCAATGCCGAATATGTCGTCTGATCTTTCAAAGACTTGGCTTGTCGTGGAATGAACAGGTTCTATTAACTTGAGTCTTTCGTGAAGTACACGGGTTTCCTCTGGAAGTACGCACGATGACTTTCTGTCCTTGTGATTTATGCGATCGAATACTATCATCAACAGAGCATAAGCGAGACGAACTCCCACTCTACTACCACTAAAAGGATGACTGATCCATCTGTGTAGTGCTTCATTTCTGTTATTTCCTCTTCCCGGGACAATTCCTTATTAAAAAGAAAAAAAAAAAGACAACAACGACAACAACAACAAGAAAATATTAGAATGAGTCACATATCACTTACATTTCCATGAATACGTTCACGCATCACAAATGTGAGGTGGAAAACCGAAGCGAAGCACAAGCAATGAGAGAATGCTTTTCTCAGGAGTGGTATCTGGAAAAGCTAGGGATCTTCTCCTCATATTTACATATTACAGTTTAGTTTCGCGATTCGAGGTAAGGATCTTGTTCCTCAGTATTTAAAAAGGTGATTAACCTACTACAAATTGTCTATCTGTTCACGTACATCAATCCTTTTACCTAATTAGTTATAAGGGGGGCATTTTGCGCAGTCATCTTACGCTTCTTGATGTTCTCCTATCTCACTCGACGGACCGCTGATTCTCACCTTTTCCGAATCTGAGATAATTTTTTTTTCACCGTGTGCACTAACGAGGCTCCATAGGGTTATTTGACCGTGCAAGATTCAAATGTTTACGTACGCTCAGATATCAAGGTAAGCGAAGTACTACTCAATAATTTGTTTGGGAGAATGAGATTCATCGTATTCCCTTAGGTAGAATTTCCTTGGATTTGGCGTAACTTTTCACACATTTGCGCCCTAGCTTCAAAATGCCAATTAATGAAAGATGAAGATCATAGGAATAATTTAAAGTTGCCATAAACGCCGGCGTATAAGCGGCGTTCGCAGAAAATCCACAACCCAACTTTTGCCAGTAAAATTTTGGAGAAAAGAGTATTTTTTCAAGGAAATCATAAGTTAAGTCTTCGAAAGTTACTCTATTTGGTTGTTTCAACAAAAGTACACAGCGAAAGGTTACCAATATTGAACACGGAGAACACTTTTTACTGTGTGTTTACTGTTCTTAATCAATTGCTTTGATAACAAAAGAGATAAAACAAGACTCAGCTCCTTGGAAATATCGGCCACGTGCTAGACAATTATTCTTGCCAAAGTTCTTGTTAGAGCGCTATACAAACTTATCTTTCGTTGAATAGTGGTAATTTATGCCGCACTCCTGATTAGGAAATGAGGAAAGGTAGAAAACAAATATATCTAATAAGCGGAGAAACTTCCTTTGAAACCCCTTTTTCAATTTAAAATGATCGACAGGACAAATTTCACATTTTGTCGAGGTTAGTGAAGATTTCATCAAAGCCGATTGGAGAAAATGAATAAAAGTCCAGTTACGGATAGCGAGGGCCCCTTTTGATACGTTTCCGTGCGCGTCATAATCAGGCGAAAAATCTATTGTGCTACCTTAAAGCAGAGTAATCACTTTCCATAATTTGTCTTCTCTTAATTAATTTCGCACTCGATAGTTTGTAACAGATACTTGTATTAAACCATGGTACTTGCTTCAAATGTTTGTCAGGATTTGGTTCAAAACTGTGAAGGTTTTAAGGAGAGTTGTATTTACTCGCACGACCTGTTTTTGTGCCGCAAGCTCGACTTAAAACAAATTGAATAGTGCGCTCGCGCCTCACGCGCCGGAAAACTAGGTTTTCGTTCACTTTTTATAAAGAACCAATTTAAGCTTCGGTTCGAAACTATAAAAGTTTCAAGAGAAAGATTTACATACCATAAGAAATTTCCTGTTTTATGCATAAGGGTCGCACGATCGTTTTAAACCAAACAGTTAAGTAGTGCCGAGATCTGTATCAGGGCAACTGAAACTTTCCAAAGACTTACTTTCCGCTTTTACTGGGAAAAATTCCACATCATTTTCGTCTTGCTAAACGTTTGATTGGAAACAAACTAAAAGTAGAATACACACTCTATGCAACAACAATGCAGTCTTCAAATCACCTTTTTTTTTTTTTGAAAAGAAAATAAAAACTCTTTCACACCCGTACAAGAAGAAAAATTAAGAAAATAAGAAAAGAAAGTAAAAACTCATTCACACCCATGCAAGAAGAAAAATTAAGAATTTTTTTTAAGTACATATACCAACTAAAATGAGTAAATGTGCTCGAGATTTATTAAAAAAAAAAGAAAAGAGAAGAAGAGAATAGAGGTTTCTATTGCTTAAAAGTATTACTTAAAACAAGTAAAAGGATTTTTAAAATATTACAACGGGCACAATTTTCAAGGTACCTTGAAACTTACCCTACAAACAGCCTTTCCTCATGTGTTCCTTGATTTTCTGCACTTCCTTCAATGCAGTGCTTCTTCTGATAAGATAGGCTTTCCTTTGTTGCTTTCAACGTTTTTCCATTCCTTTAGAAACAATTCAGCATTATTCAAAAGAGCGTTTGGATCTGGAGCTTCTTTTGACCGCGTCTTCCCGAAGTCAGATGGATCTCTGAACATTAACCGTAGATCTTGTAAGCAATGAGAATAAAACAGGTGGCGCTTTGATAACTTGGTACTAACTCGCTGAAAAGCATGGAAAACATCTAGTTTTACAACAAGATTTGCCCCTAAAATTTCTTGTAACTTCTTTCTCCAGTGACAGCAGTTGTCAATATAAAATTCCTTAACAATTTTTCCTTGGCTCTACTCTACGTAATTGTTGTAGTTGACTCAAAAGCCATTTCTGGAAAGTGCTCTTGTGTGGCAGGCCTTGGGGGCTATTGCAATCATGTTGTTGGCCTCCTGTATTATTTGGCACATTGCAAGCAACTGGGCTTTTCTTCTCTTCCAGACGACTTAACATGTACGAGCATGAAAGAGAGGTGGAGCATTCCAAGAGAACGCAAAATTGGAAATCAAGAAGTCCAAAGTGTCTTGGTCAAGAAACCACGGCCTGGGGCTAACTATGACCGATATATAAAAAACACTCTGTATTCACCAGCCAGGCAATACAGAGTACTTGATGAGAGCCACTACAACAGTGTTGAGCCAAAACCACTCATAGCAACAATAGCTCCTAGAGTTAATGCTCCTTTACAACTGGTATCTACCAAATTTGGTCATGCTGTGAAGGGAAGTGTAATATCCTATCAACAGAAGCTATCTGAGGAGTACTTGATAAACAACTACTCCTGTACCTCTTTCCCAGAGTTGCCTCTTCCAAGTGCTGAGATGCGATTTGAAAATGATGTGTCTATGTGTCTCCAGCAAGACAAGCTTACTTCATTGGGTGTGTTGAGTCTCTCCAGGCAAACTGCCATTGAAGTGGAGGAAAAAACAAGGGCACAAAGTCAGAGTGGTCTTTGGACAATGTTAAGGAACAAAAGGATCACAGCTAGTAAATTTGGACAAGTTGCCAAAAGAAAAAGCAACTTCGACAACCTAGTTAGGCAAATTAACCCATCAAGACATGTGGTTACAGCACCTATGCAGAGAGGCTTAGATTTGGAACCCCAGGCTGCATTTATTTATGCCAGCAAAGCCAAGCAAAACCAAGTGAATCTCTTCCCATCAGGGCTGGTGATAAATCCAAAATGTCCATGGTTGGGATGCACCCCTGACCGCAAAGTGTTTGATTTGGGTGTTGAAGAGCAAGGCCTTTCACCTTTTGGCCTTTTGGAGATAAAGGTTGTTAAAGAAGGTGCAACTGACTTTGAGAATGTGGCCTATCTTACAAAGGACAACGATTCCAATGTCCTCAAGCTTAAAAGAAATCATGACTATCATTATCAGGTCCAATGTCAGTTGGCATTAACTGGCCTTGAGTGGTGTGATTTTTTCAGTTACATCAACGACACTACCTTTTTCTGTGAAAGAATTATGTTTGATCCCATCTTTTTTCAAACTGCAAAAGACAGAGTTGATTATTTTTTCTTTACCTATTTCCTGTGAAGTTCACAGTAACCATTACAATAACAGCTGTATTTATTGCTATGAATTTCCTTGTTATAAAGTTCACACAATGTGAGTACACAGTCAGTGCAACCTAATATGTACAAATTCTTTATTTAATGATTCCTGGCTATGATTGAATTTATTATATACTGAACATTTAGTTGTTAGTGGTATCACTGTCATCTGTGTCTTTGATCAGTGCACCTTGAAAGTTAGTCAACAAACAGGCAACTGTATACAGTTGATTGACAGATCCCAGTATAGACAATGAGATGTCAGAGTCAAATATATGAAATTCCTTTATCCTTCTTATTGCACGTTCCACATGGATTCTTACTTTTGCAATAGTTTTTGTTTCCAAAACATCCTGGGCTGAAAATTGAGTTTGATTCTGAAGAAAGGGTGGCAAATTCAAAGAAACTTGTTTACTGCTTAAAAGATCTTCAATATCAAATCCCTTATCTGCCATGACACTGTCATGTGCCTCCAGAAGATCCAAAATGCCAGAACAACGAGTTATTTCTTTGTCTGATATCGAACCAGTGTACAGGCTAGAAACAAATGTGATAGCCCCATGAGGAGCAATCCCAATTAAACCTTTTAAAGTAGTGCTAGACTTGTACGATGAATACAACTGAGACTGTAATAGCAATGAAGAAGGGGTTTGGACATAAATTTCAGTGCAGTCAATGATGACACGTGTCGATGGATACAGCTCTTTGAAGCTATCTGGCATAAGTTCATTAATGCACTCTCTAGTTGGCCATATTGGCTGATTGCCAAGAAAGAAGTACAAAAAATTGGCCCAAGTTGTTATTTTTCTACTCACACTAGAAACATGCAAACTAAAACGCTGGGCAAAGTCCAGTTCAAATAAACCAAGCTTCAATCGAACACAAAATAAAAAAAGCTCATCTATCAGTTGCATCTTGCGTACTCCTGGCCTGTTTGCACCTATTCCTGAAGCATACACATAAACCATTGTTTCTGCAGTTGGTTTAACAAGTTCAAAAAATAGCTTAAAGTGATCATAAGTTGGAAAACCTGTGTAAAATCTCACAAGAGCATTATCTTTAGAGAACCTTTCCAGGCCAAATCGACTAATCTTAAGATTTGCCTCTAATTCTTGAATTTTTGCCTCTGATGACTCCTTTGTGGCAGCAGCAGCCTCCTTGAGTACTCTCATCTCGGCCTCCTTTTTTTACGACCAAAAAGTCAAAGTTCGCTTCGCTTGAGTTGATCAATTCTTGTACAGTACAATGAGCGGGACGCTGGTTTGCTTGCTCACCAGCAATGCGTTGCTATGTGGTAACCAAGCACGTGACTAAGTCCTGCAAAGAGCCTATTCAAGACTTTTTATTGGCTTAGCCATCGTGGTATATGAGCCAATATACTATATTCTACAAATATGGTAAGCGTACGCGTCGGCTTAATATTAAAAGGGAGCTAATAAAATTTAATAATTTTAATTAAAGTTTTTAATAAAACAATTATTCCACTCGCGCTTGTTGGATATAAGATGATTATAGCCAACTCGTTGCTACGCGCCTCGTTGGCTACCTGTCATCCCATATCCAACGTGCGCTCGTGGAATAATTGTTAAATATTCAGAATGCGATTGATATGTTTGTTTCGTTCATCACAGAGCTTGGTTGCATTATTTCTTTAGTTGCGAGTAATTTCTAGTGTCGCTAATTTCTAGTGTCGCTAATTTCTAATGTCGGTATTGGAAAGTAGTGTAGGTAGTGAAGGTAGTGTAGGTAATGACAAGCGCAGTAAGCTACATGCAGTCACCGTTTGCCTATTTTTTTCATAGCCCTGCTCTAAAATAAGCGCAGCTTTTTAGTTGCAAACGGCTTTTGTCCCCTCACCAATTAAGGGGCCAAAAGGCAAGTTCCTGGCTAAGTTTAATTTTCGGTCTGTAACTCATCAATAAATGAATTGCCAATATTTGCGCAAAGATATCTGGGATCGCCAATTTGCTAAAAGGAAATATATCGCAAATGTTGTTTCGGACTCCAAATAAACAATGTTTGTTCCGTGGCGATGCCAAAAATTTCTGCGCAAAGGAAATTTCTGGCAACATATTCATTGGAGAGTCTGATCTGCCGATTTGTTTAAACGTTGTGGAAGCAGAAAGATATCCACACCACTGAGTATATATACCATTGTCTCAATTTTGAACAAATAATCATTTTCTCAATCTATTGAATCACAGAATTACTGTTTTTCAAGTGTAAAAGTCATTTAATGGAATGTCCAATGAACACTGTGAAGCGTCCAAGTTCTTTGCTCAAAAAATGTATTTGTGCGCGGTACTGGGACAAGCAGCTCAAGTGACATAACACTGATCACAGTCATTCTTTCCGTCAGTCCTCATTTCTATCTTCTTACTTGTTGAATGAACCCGGTGTTACTATTACGCGATGAGTTGAACCAAAGGCAGTGCTTGTTCTCTCGGCAGATTTCACCCTGTAATTGTCAGCCAGTGGATTGCCATTTAGAAACAGATCCGAGAGATTAGGAATGGATTCCCAAGAAAGGTCTAAAACCCGAAAGTAATGTTTATCAAAATCTGACTCGTCGACATTTTCCCAATCCAAGGTGAGATGGATGCGAAAACGCTCAGTCATTGAGTAAAGGTAACCTCTGAGGCAGAAACGAGAGAAGTCGAGATCATTTAAAGCTGGAAATATTTTGTAAAAGTTTCCAAATAGTGCCTCCATGCCCACCAATTGCAGGCTACTCTCCTTCTTCCCTTTTAATTCGAGTCTCCTTAGAGACGACATTTCAGAAAGGGACCGACCGAGTGTCGTGGCCGTTTCTGGAGTCAATCTCAAGTTGCACAGTGCCAGATCCCGAAGAGTCTTATGTGTAATGCTAGACACCACCTTGTACTCTGCTTCAGCACAGCAGCCAGACAAGTCAAGGCAACATTGGACGAGGTTGTTGACCCGTGGTAACAAACCAGCGAGCTTTAATACTTCAGAACTTGAGAGTGGACCGTCCATGAGCTTCAACCGACAGGTAAGAGGATTTGGTATTTGTTCCAGGCATTCCAAAGCACTCTCATTCAAACGATGCATTTCAATGCTTTCGAAACTCTTACAATCTCTAATTATTGTACGAAAACTTCGCAGCGTCTGCTCGCTAACAAATGAACCAATGCATAGAGAGCTAAGAAATTTCAGAGATGACGGCTCTGGACACAAACTTATGGAATGAGATGGAGTAAAATTCTCAGTGAACAGTTTGGCATGGTCATCACACCAGAAACGCAGTCCAGTGAAGTAAAACAGTGACTTACCACTGTGGAAATGAAAGATGCCACGGAAATGGCATAAGTTGCATTCTTTTACTGTTTCGCATTTCTTTAAAAATTCTTCAACTGAAACAGCCGCCGAATTCTCAGTTGTTTTTAGCGGAATGTGTAGGCAATTGAGAAACTTAAGCGACTCGCACAGTGCTGTCACTTCGTAAAAACACCAGGGAGGATGGAGCACCACACCACGAATTGAGATGTCATTTAAAATTTTCTGTTCTGGTGCAATGTTACAAAGTGGTCTTCTATACCGCGAAAGAAAAATTATCCCCATAGTGCAATTTAAACAATGTCTATAAAGTTCAGTTTTCGATTCAACTTCATTAAAGGAATCGTAGACAAGGTCAATAAACCTCATTTGCTTGTCAGTGACGTCACATACTGACATGTCTTTCTCGTTTTGCTCATCAGGTATTGTCTTTGACAAATCCAGTTCTAAGTCACGGACTCTTAATGATGTCAAGTGTTCAAAAACTTTCACTGATCCACCATCTGACAAACCGCAAATAAACATGAAAACATTCTCCAAGGAATTACAGTCGTCCAAGGTTCGGGCCCGGTTGTTAATTCCACCGAGATTTCCTTCAGGGACACATCGGTAGGTGACATACCACGCTGCTAAGAACTCTTGTATGCTCTTGTGAATAAACGATACCATCCCTGCTGGTCGAATATTTTCTGCATACTCACTGACTTGAAGTAAGCCCATAATCCGACTTTCTTCACAAAGGATAACAGCGGACAGTTGATCGTACTCGAATACATGATCGTTATTTAAAAGACATTCTAAAGCCACCTTTCCGATTTCAACCAGAATCTCCTTGAAATCTTCAACTTCGCGAAAGTTAGAAGAAGAACATTTCCCTTCATTATGATCCAAAATGTTCTGGACGATCGCTACGTACAATTTTGTTTTGGAGTCAGGAAACCTCTGTAACTTTCCCTTTTTCCACAAAGTGCAAAAGAAAAGTAGAAGAAGCGGAACTCTCGCCAGATCTTTCACGTCTCGGTCGTCAAGATGAACCCATAACTCTCGTGCTTGTGCTTCGCTACCAAGCATTCTGATCATAAAGGCCTTTCTGTCCTCTTCACTAAAACCAGTGATCTCAGCATGCACGTCCTGAAATCCTACCAGCTCGTCGGCTTTGGAAATTCGAGTTGTTATCAACACACAACAGTTCCTCAGTTTATTTCCTTTGAATATCTCAAATATTTCTGAGTTCCTTGCGCAATGATACTCGTCGTAACCATCAAACACCAGGAGAACTTTGTCTTGGTTTTGGGTGATATAACTCAGCAGGCCGTCTTTCATGGCTGTGTCCTCCTCAGCAAAAATATGAGAGGCGCTTACGATATCTCTGAGGCTTTGGTGTTTAGATACTTTTTTCAGATCAATAACAACAGCAAGCTCGAACTTCTTCAGGATAGCTCTCTGATCATCTGTCAACCGGTTTTCGTCAAGTTCAGCCCAGTCCATAGCCAGTTTCTTCACAAACGTGCTCTTCCCAATTCCAGTCTGCCCTTGCACGAGTAACCTGTTTGACGGCAATCCGTTCTTATTTTCAGTGAACATATCAGTGTAGTGATCCAGGTTGGCCCGTGATGACCCAGCTGGGGTTTGTTCCTCTTTCACCCAGGACAGTCGAGTGTAGATCAGGTGAATGTTCACGGCAGATTTTTTGGACCACACAGAGGTGGGCACTGTGGTGGTTCTTTTGTAATGCTCTGCAAGTTTACGCTGACAAATTTGCACATCAAAAGGAGGTACTTCTGTTTGGAGAGAAGAAGGAAAATTGTTCATGTCAACATTTTTTAGAATTATAATCGCCGCGTAGAAGGTGGCAGCTAAGTCTATCGTATGAATCATTTCATCAAACGAACAAAAAAGTTTTAAATAAAGTTAGTTTTCAAAGTTAACAAGGTGGCCAATATGACGATAAGTTCAAGTTTTAAAGTTCATTCAACAGAGAGTTACATGTGAATTTACAGTAATCTTTTTAAAACATGACCTTCACTTATTGAAGATGGTGTTGGTAATAACGCTCAGGGTTACTGAGAATGGATCGTTTAGTTAAGAAATATCGAGCCTCTTTAAATCACTCCCTAAAGTTCGCTTTATTCCTTTTCCTCCTTTTTAACTTTTATGTGTTTACTTGCACTCCTGATAAAGTTTACAGAATAAATCAAACCAATCTCGTCCCCAGACTCCTAACGCCCTTGACAAGCAATTGTTCTGCTGCATAAGGGCGACAGAGGCTCCAGGAAAGACACTGGGAGCAAACGTTCAGGCCACCTATTAACGGCAGCGGAATAGACTGGGCGCTCAAAAAGTAGGCCTCACTCGTGGAGCTCCTGCGGCACCTCGGCGTCACTGCAAGAGCTTCCCCCGACACGCTAACGTCAACCTTTTTTCACTAATATTTTTTTGACTCGCGCGACGGACTTAACCGAAAAGGAGGGATTGCTCATCTTTTAGCGGCGAAAGTAATCGTTTGAAGTCACCATGACAACCAAAAGTACTTATTTCTCTTATGGCCCAAATGGAAATTACTACTACAAATGACTCAAAACACAATTTAAAAAGACATCTTTCAATCCCAAGACGCTAATCTTTTGAGTTGACCAGAGACATGTTTTCTTTAACTTTTCAACCAGAAAGTAAAATGTCAGGAAAAAATAGATCTGTCTCATTTACAGAGCATGTAAGACCCCTTACTGATGCTTGAAAAATTACCGATGTTTATTATTGTTTTATTCCGTCGTTGAACCTTTCCCAAAACCACCGAATGAAAACCCAGTTGACCAGCAAATCTCCATAGCACTGAACGTAAACAGAATCTGCATCTATGAATTTGTAGCCTCAACAGAATTTGAATTTGTAGCCCCCCCCCCCCCGAAAAACAAGCCCGTAACCCAGGGCCAAAATTGAGTTTAAATGCCCTAGCCAAGGACCGGATTTGAAGGCCAATTTTCTTGTAAAAGGCAAAATCAGCGACCGTGACAATCTGCACATTTGACCGTGCCTGAAAAAACATCGATTTTGTAGACCTCTTATTCTGAGTCATTAGCTTGCAAAGTACGCTCTTTACGCCTCCCGGTTAGCTCAATGGATAGAGCGCTGGACTGTTGTGCGGGAGGTCGAGGGTTTGAGCCCCGGCCAGACCAACACGCAAGGTCTTAAAATAATTGAGAAGAATATGCTACCTTTCTATAACATCAAGAAATGATTAGATATTCTAGTCTTCTCGGATAGGGACGAATAAATGGAGGTCCCGTCTCCTGCAGGGTTAGGGGCAGGAGACGTTAATTTCCCACGCACGAGATTACTGTGTGATGGATGTCCTCCCCTGGGGTGGGATGGGTGGGTAACAGGACCCCCGTTGATACCAGTGTTTACTACACTGAAGGGGCTATCCTGTATAAATATAGATGTCTACTCTACTCTACTTGTTATCTGGTGACTGTTGTTTGGTTAGGGGAGGAGTGAGTGCACAGTTGCCCAGATACTGACATTAATCCGATTNTTGCTACATGAAAATTATACTCAACATTCGTATAGATTTTTCTTTTCTTTATCGTATAAGCCAAGTTTATATCCACAACGTGTCGTGTCGTTAGAAGCCATTCGCGAGGTGTGTTGCGTGATGGTTTCCTGTACAAATACAGGACCGGCGTCACGCGACAGTAGCGGAGATAACCTTTCGCGGTCCTTATACTTCGAGAAATTCTCGCGATTGAGTCTCCTGCATTGAATTTTGAGCAGAATAGACCATTAATGGTCGAGGAGAAGTCGTTTTTGTTAAACGTAAAATTTTTCGTTGTTTTCCCAAACAAAAAATAACACTCTTTCTATTCGTTAATCATTAAAGTTCTGGTGACGTGTTTTCCCGCCACTTTTTCATTTAACATTCGATCATGCATGGCGGTCAAAGGTTTTCGGTAAATAATTCATAATTTCCGATTTGAAGATGGCTTTTAAGTTGCCTTATTTTACCAAGAAGGCAATTGTAAATAAGGTGACTGA